AACTGGTTTTGTTCTTGCTATCTTTATGACTGCATTAAATGATTCTCCTAAGTTGTTCTCAACAGCATCAGAAGATGAGTATTTTGTGAAAAATGCTCTTGATCACAGGCAAGATTGAGAAATCTTTAAATCATCATATGCAGCGACATAAATCTTCTTCAACTCTTCCATCTTCTTCTCAAAACGTGGAAATCTTCTTCAACTCTTCCATCTTCTTCTCAAAACGTGTTATGTAGTAAGCATCAGCAGCACCCTAGAACAGATCTTCGAACACAGCCCCACCATATTTCTTCTTCCAATTGGAGTACACATGTCGAGCACACATCCTATGCTCAGCATATGGCAACACATCTTGAACTGCTAATATAAGACCTTTTTGTTGGTCACTTGCTATAGTTAAACCATTACCTTGCTCTAGGCCTACGTCTTCGACCAAATGCTCAAAAAATCATAACCAGTTATCTTTATTTTCAATATCCACAACGGCCCATGCAATAGGAAAAGTCTGTTCATTAGGATCCATTCCACAAGCAATTAGTAACATTCCATTCATTCTCCATTTATGAAATGTACCATCAATGTAGATAATCTTCCTCCAAGCACTCTTCCACCCATCTTTAAGCGCCTGAAAACACACATAAAACCTATAGAATCTTGTCTGTCTCACCTCACATTCAACTAGACCCAGGATTTGTGCTTTACAACTCCTCCACATAGTCAAACAACCTTGCAAACGACTCAGCTTGCTCATCATCAAACTGTTGCAAGCATTTCAGTCTTATCCTTTCAAAAATGGTTTCTGACACATTAATGTTGCATCTTTGAAGCTTTTTTTTTGCAACTGAGTACTTGAGATATTAGGATTAATTCTTACTTCCTCAATGTATATATCCTCAATCCTACTATTTGTCAACAAAGACACTTTCCCTGCCATGTGCAATTGTGCTCCTCTTGATATGCTCTAACAACAACTCTAGTGCTGCTGCTATTAATATAACCTGAGATCCTCCATGGGCATTTCTTTTCTGAGCAAATTGCCACAACACACTTACTATCAGACTTATCAAACTCAATATCCCTCCTATTCCTCACATCATATTTTGTTATAGCTGTTTTGAAAACTGATATGTTTGAAATTGTTGCCCCAACATGAATATTTTCGGATTATCATCAACTACCGGGATCATCCTGCTTTATGATACCAGCTCTCTCATCAATCTCAGAATCACTAGAAGAGTCATTTACCTTATCATCCTCATTCGCACTCTCATTCCCATTATCATCTTCATCTTCAGCATCATTCAACGAGCTTCTCATATTACCCATATAAGGATCATCTTCTCTAACGGTAGACAACATCATTGCTCCAGACCCAATTGAGTAATGAACCACTTTGGTCATTATCTCATCATCAGTTATGTCTTTTTTTTCCCCAGGAATTTCAGGTGGAAACCATGATACTTTGTTCATATTGTCTTCATAGCCTATATATTTCACAAGTGTGAGAACCGATTGCAAGTTAAAACCATCAGCTACTCTTTTACCCCCTTCATGAACTTCGCCTCCATGATATCCGTCTTTGCTACTCCAATATCCACCACAATGTAAATAGAGGTCAAAACTGTAAGGACATTGTTCATCAGTGAGAAAATCAAGTAATATATCAAGAGATCAATCGATTCAAAAAAAAAAATCAATGTCTTTGGTCATTAACCTCAACGCCATGGTCGTTTCTCTGCTCAATTCACTTAAAATGTAGTACATAACTGACGAAATTGTCTTAGATTATCATTAGTTCCAGAATCAACTGAAATTTTAAAGATTGAGTAGAAAGCCCTAATTCTCCACTCTGTAAACCCTAATTCGCGACATAAAATCTTCAAAAGACTTCTTTTTCGTTTTAAAAACGACTTTAATTGGAGAAGGTGCAGTTAAAATAACGAAACAAATTGTATATATAAGCTTGCATTTGTTAAATAAGCGAATGTATCTGATAGGCGAGTTGGTTTTGTTACTTGATAAATTGAGCTGGGGTGACGGGTTTGAGTCCCGCAAATCCAGTTTTTAGTTAAATATTTCAGGTCACATCAACAATTTGTCTATACGGTTTCATCTTAGTACAAATGTATCAGATAGTCGAGTTGGTTTGCGAGTAGAATAAGTTGTGTTGTGGTGATGGGTTCGAATCCAATATGATTCAACTTTTTAATTTAATTTTTAATATCAAAACGACGTAGTTTTGAATTATGTTAAATAGTAAACAACTGCCACGTCATCAATACACGGATGGCCTATATTGCGGTTTGATTGAGACTTGGAGGGTTGACCCATGGGTTTTTGATTTGGTGGATTAAATTGCAAAAAAAAAAACCACATTGAAGGTTTTTTTTGCAGAAAACCCATAAAAGAAGCATCCACATTACACTTCATCCAATTATCCGGGGGAACGTTGCATCTTTCTCTTCTTCTTCCTCTTGTAGTTGCAGTTTGTTGACAAGAATTTGAATTATAACTTCCAATATGCTTCCATTCTCGAGCATTGCTTTTTGCATTGGGTATGACATACTTCCAATGGACTTGTTTGTGTTGGAAAATTAACAAGCTTTTGCTCTTCTATATTCTCCATAGTAATCATGGTAATAATTAAGAGACGTTGAGGTAGTATACTGAAGATACGCTTCTAATTTCTTCTCAAAAAGTTGAGTTCAAACTGTCAATAATAGCATTTGCGATACCTAAGGCTCTCCAAATCTTCCGTGCATAATGGCAAGTAAAAAATAAATGCTCCTCCGTTTCTTCTTCCATCCAACATCTTTTGAAAATTGCATCATTCGTTACATGTCTCCGTTTCAGGTTAGTACATGTTAGTACAGTAGCAATACTCCTTGATGATATCCACCAGAGAAAGTGCTTCAACTTTGATTGTGCTTTTGACTTCCATATTCTCTGTTTCAGACCCACAGTACCATAAGTTGGTGGGATATAGTTGTTATCAGGCAAAACCAGTAGCCTGACTTCACTGAATAGAGACCATTGTCATTTTGTAATGTCAACCCAATAAATCTTGTCCTGCCACTGAACATATTTTCAAAGACAATATTGTCTCTATATCCTCTTCCACTACATCTTCTCTGAGTTTATCTAAATTCCAGTCTGTTCAAGTATCATTGAAGTAATCATCAACCTTCATATCTAGAGAGACCTCTCTTATTGGTCTTGGAGCTCTTGGGAGATGTAGATTTAACCAAACATCAATCCACATATTTGCTGTTGAACCATTTCCAACAATGAATTTCATTGCTTTAACAATCAGTTCCTTACTATACAGAATTGACTTACATGCATAAGAAGCCTTCTTATTTAGTGTAGCCTTGAGAATATCACCGTCTGGAAAATAACGTGATCTTAGAACTCTAGCCATCAGACCATTTGGATACTGCAATATTCTCCAAAGTTGTTTTCCAAGTAACGCTTGGTTAAAAGCCTCTAGATCTCTAAAACCTAATCTCCCTTCCTTCTTAGGGATACAAACTCGTTTCCATGCATACCAATGCAATCCTTTATTCTATCCTGAATTCCATCAAAATCTGGCCAGAATCGCATTGATCTCCTCACAAATTTCTTTTGGTAATCTGAAAATGTTCATAGAGAAAATAGTCATAGCCAAAGCAACATATTTAAGAAGTACTTCTCTGTTTCCATCCTTGAACCACTTTTCTTAACTTTATCAACAATGTACGCAAACATTGCACCTTTCTTTGACCCAAATTGTTATGACAGACCAAGATATTTTCCAATACCTCCTTCATTATGTATGCCTAAAACATTTCTCATCCGAGTTTTAACCTCAGCATGAACCTTACTCCCAAAAGTTATAGTAGACTTACATAGGTTTATAGTCTGACCCGATACATATTAATATATGGAGAAGATTTCTTTCAACTTTTTAGCTGCTTTGAGGATGGCTAATGAGAAGAATAATGAATCATCTGCGAAAAGTAAATAATTAACTGCAGAAGCACCAACATCGATTTTGACTCCAAGAAGAGAACTATCCTCTATAGCTCTAAAACATAAGTGAGATAAAACCTCAGCACACAAAATAAACAGATAAGGAGATAGTGGATCTCCTTGCCTGAGTCACCTTTCTGGTGTAATAAACCCTTCTGGAGTAAGTGACCGTTGATATGCAAACCATGATCCATCGTATACATTTCTCACTAAACCCCATACACTTCACTGCTTCCTGTAGAAACCTCAACTCAAGCCTATCATAGACTTTTGTAATATTTGTCTTCACTGCCATATACGAATTAGATTGACGCATTTCATGCAGTCACTATGTTGTCTGAGATCAGTGGTCCAGATATGAAAGCATTCTGGTTCTCAGATACAATAGAAGGCAGATGACTCTTCAATCGGTTATATAATACTTTAAAAATATTTTTATACTATTGGAGGATATACTTTTGTTATAAGACAGAGATTAGTATGATTGTGTTGTTGATCTAACTCACCAGTATTGAAGAATATCTGTATTTCGTCCATAATATCTCCTTTGCAGTCCATCCAAAACTTCATAAAAATACCGCCGAAAAAACGTCTAGACGACGAGGTCCCATATCACACAAAGCAGTCTGTATCTTATCTTCAGTGATTGGTCTGACCAAATCATCATTCATGACTGTGTAAAACCTCTGAAAACTTCAGCATATAAATTTTGGAAATACTTGATAGCAACATGAGAAACTTCTTTATGCCCTTTTGTGTTTACTCCTTGATCATCTTGAGTAGAAGTAATTGTGTTCCTGATTCATTTAGACTTTGTAACTGCATGGAAATAACTCGTATTCCTGTCCCTTGATGTCAATCACATTATTCTGCTCTTTTGTTTTCAATAAATCTCCTCGTCTCATTAAGCTTGATGAAGTTCATCTCGTATATTATTCTTTTATTTTCGTATGGAATATTATTTTTGAATACGCCGGTCATAGATGCAGATCTGAAACCATCTTTCTTTGTCCTCCATTATTATGCTACCCACGTTTAATCACAGCACATAGTTAGTGGATTACACAGCAAAAGAAAAACGAGATACAATACCAACACACATGTTGCTTGTGAATGATAAAACTTCCAAAGTACAATGAACATATCACTAACATGTAAAGCCAGGATTCAACCCACCTAGTTTCATCCTGGAAACAACACTTTCTTGTGATCTTCAAAAACACAAAAAAAAATGACAAGGAGAGCGTAAAAAAAGGATTAGACTTTATCCAGAATTTCAGATGCACTTACGCTTAGGAGAAAAAAAAAAGAATGAACTGTGATGTAATGATCAAACTTGAATATGAAGATGTACACAGAGACAGCTGCTGATGATGATTAATTTCTTGAACCATTGACGCATTGAAACCCTTGACAAACCCAAAGCCAGATTCCGAAGAGAACAGCACAGATGCAGAAATCAAACATCAACACAACCCACACATGCTTCTTCCACATCTGTTTCGCCTTTTGCCTGTGATGATGATGATCTGTCAACAAACCATTTCTCAGTTCCTTGCGCAACACTCCACCGTTCCCGTTCCCACATAAATCAACCTTCTTCTTCTCCTCCGTCTCCTTCATCGTCGTCGCAACGTCACTAGAAGAATCATCTTCCGAATGCAATCTCTTATTCTTCTTCTTCAACGCTTTCAATTGCTTCCCCAGAAGAGGCATCAACGAAGCTCTTCTCCCTTTAGACGAATCAATACTAGGGTTACGACTCTCCCTCGCCACGCTCCTCGGAGATCCAACCAAATCCATGTCCAACTCCAAATCAACACCACCAACGATCTCCGCGAAAACTGGATCCATCTTTGATTGTAAACAAAGACGAGAAGGATTGATCAACGTCTCTCCTCCTCTGACGAGATCTTCAACGGTTGATCTCAACCGGTTCAATACCCAGAAGGATTCGTGTTTCTCCATAGCTTCGTTGAGGATCGCGAAGTAGACGAAGGAGTCACCATCGATTGAGAATGTGTACGTCTTCTTGTGAACTGTGTGGGAGAAGATTGAATGGTGTGGAGGCGTGTTCTCGATGCATCGTAAAGCTACTTCTTCGATTCCTGGGTTTTCCTTTGATGCGAACTCGGCGAGGACGATGGTTCCTTTCGCGATGCAAGTGTAGGATAATAGACTTGGATTCGAAATCATTGTTTATGGAATCGCAACAAAAAGGATAATGTTGCGATCTCGATCGAATTAGAGAGATTTGAGGATTTTGTTTCTGGTCAATTCGATTTCTCTCTCTCTCTCTCTGTCTAGGGTTTTCGGAATTTTTTAGGGAAAGAAATAGAAAGGGAAGAGGAGATCCATTTTTTGAGAAGACGAAGCGAGAACGATAGGTAGAGAATAGAATATACACTGTGACTCACTTCGTGAAACCACCATTTGATATTTACAAGAATGCCCTCAAGTTTTCACAGCCGTGATTCTAGGTTACACACGTGGAATAATGGTCCAACTAGCGCACGTGATAGTTGGCAAATACTTACTTACTACTTTTGGATCGGGTTACCCGACCCTATCAAAGGGATTTTTAAAGCCCAAAACGAAGCCCATTTGTTACTACCACCGAGATCTTGTGGAGCGCGTGAGAAATGTTGGTTTAAATAAAAACATAGCGAAGAAGAAAGCATACCCGTAAGAATCATCCCCGACCAAAAGATGGATCAACCCGACCCGAGAAATGCCTCTGGCCTGATTCTCTCCGTCACTGAACCAATGCGATCGTTTCTCGCTTTGGCCAGCGATGATCGACGTCTCTCCGGGGAGCTCAGAGATATCGCTTCAGATCTGCGCCCTAGGAAAACTGTCCCTTACAAATTGCTCCGCGCTATATGGACCGGATCCGATCCTTCGACCAGACCGGAATTGTTGGGGCTTTTCTCCGGCTCTGAGTTCGTCTTCACCAGTCCCAAACCGAGGGAAAAGGTTTGTGAAGCTCAAACTTTACAACGAAACCGATTTCGATTTATCGTTCTGGGGAATTTGTGTTCGATTATAGCATCAGAAAGCCCATTCATATTTTGACCTAATTTGATTATGTTAAAGACAATTCTGTAGTATAAGAGATTACCTTTTAGCGTCACCTGCCAAAATTCATGAGATGTGAAACAAGTAGGGAATGAGAGCTAAATGATTAATATATTTTTCTTAATAAATTTGAAGGATGGATAATCTATACATATTAGCTACATCAGGACAGGCCCTGTCTTTTGGTAGTTAAGATGAATTACTCATTAGTGAAGATGAGCACAATTGTGTTTTGCTTGAATCCAAATATGCATTTTTGTTTTGGTTAATGGGCAGAAACGATCGTTACTGCTCCTATGTAGTCGAGGAAGTAATTCCTAACTATGATTATATATATCTTCTTCATGTCTTGCCACTTCTTTGTGTGTTTGTTGATCTGATTTTTTTGGTCTTGGTAGAGTGAAGAACTGAAATTGAGACTGCTAAAGCTGAGAGAAGTAGCAGAGAGGAAGGAATACGCTGAACTTGTTAAAGATATTACACCTAGGAAACAAGTCGAAGAGCCTTTCTCCTCTTACAAAGACCAGCTCGGTTTTGGTAAAGCCTTTTCTTGATCACTTTTCTTGGAATAGTATCACACTGAAGATCTTGTTTTTCTTGATAGGATTACACGTTGGTCTTACCATGTTCACTGGATATTTGATTGGATACGCTTCCTTCAGAGCTTTATTCAACCGCAACCCCGCTCTCGTATTTTTTTCTCCATTCTCTCGTTTTCTTTCTTAGAACCTGTCATGATTAAGTTGGATTTTTTGAATCATTGTGTGTTTCTGATTTCAGAGTGCTGCTGGTGGGATACTTGGGCTAGTTTTAGCCATGCTTGTGGAAACACTTCTGTTTATAATCAAAACATCTAAAGATGATCAGATTCAGAGCTCTAAATCTCCATCTTCATTGTCATCATCATCATCATTCACTCCCACTATTAAGAAGAATCAATAGAACTTTTGCTTTTTGCCTTCTTGTTCTAGTTCTACTGAGAAAGAGATTTAGCTTGGAGGCGTGTGATATGATCGAATCCATCTAGTAACCCAATTTGGGAATTTTACGTACAAACACATGGTTTTTAAAGTTGTCTTGACACATTTGAAGTTTTTTTTTTTGTCATATGTAAATTTATATCTGTTTCTCTGTTAAACAATTGAAGCAAAGCTTTTGTGAAATTTAATAATACTTTCGCAGCCTCCCAAAGGGTATCTTTACCAAGTCAAAATGGTTCTCTACAGTCTCTGATGATGCCTCCGAAGAGGCCTCTATCGATATATATACACTTTTCTAAAGAAGGCTTAATATGCAGCAACGTATAATGCATTGATTCTTTGAAGGTGTGAAGGGGTAAGATTATCGAACCACTGGTTCTCCAAATGCATATAAACTTTTACACTCACATGTCAAGTTATGAATCATGAATAAAATGGATAACTATTGGAATAGCACAAGTATAGGTTTAAGAAAAAAGATGTTCAAACAAACTCTTTCCTCTTCAAGGTCCTCCGAGTATGGCGTTCTCGGTATCTTCTCTGCTCAAAGCATAGCTAAACCTTCTTTCCATGTCTCTCTCTAGATTTCCCGGTCCGCTTTTCAAGTACCTGTGTTACAAGGAAATTTGTGTTAGTCCCAACTTGGCAGATCACAGAGAGAGAGAGAGAGAGAGTGATCAAGAAATGTCAATGTCTCGACTTGAGTTGAGTTGCACTTGAAACTCGTGCTAAGATACAACCTAGAGTCTTAAAGGGATAATACTGATGATACACACAAGCATGAACATTGACTGACTTCCACAATCCTAATACGTTAAAAGAATTCAATACATGCACTTAATAAGTAATTAACTTCACAACATATCAAGAATAAGTACTTAAAGACAGTAGCTTTGACGTCAGAACAACGCATTCACAGACACTTTAACTAACTTAAGAATGAGTATACACAAAAGTTTAAGGTTATTTACTAATAAAAATCGAATATTTTAGGAAATGAATCAATAAAGAGGCTTTAACCTTATGCAGAGATCTGTGACGTCAAGAGATAGCTGGGCGTGCCAATCAGGTTTCTGAATCAACCAAACAGCTCTATCGTCTTTGCTCTGGTAAAACCCTAACTTCCTCAGCCAGGCCTCGATGCAAGGCAAGCTATGCGAATACAGTGGCTTGTTCTTCTCCGGTAGCTTCTTCAGCCACTCGTCCTCCGTATCCGATACCTCCTCCGCTTCCGATGATTTTGAATAAACCAGAGTTAGGGTTTTCCTTCGAATTGGGGAAGAAGAAGCGTAACTACGCCATCTGTGCGTAAACGAGGCTGAAGAACTCGAAATGTGAAGGTTTGATTGTGCACATGGTAACAGAACACCGGACGGTACGAACTTGAACGTGTATACGCAGTTCATGATAACAAACTTCACCGAGAAAATTGATAATTTCCCCGGAAAAATCGATCGAGAAGAATCTGAAAATTTGAAGATGGAACTTCTTCTCCTTCTATCTTCACGATAGAGTTGTATAGAACTTGCCACGTCAGCAGATTGAATTTTGCTTTTAGAAGAGGGCTTATGGGCTCAATATAATTAAGGCCCAATAATCTTTCCCGCCAAAACGATAAACCTCTCTCCTCTCTTCTTCAACCCCAACTAAATCTAAAATCGGATCTCTCTTTTACTCTCTGTTTCAATTTTAACAATGGCTGGAGATCTGTTATACGCAAAAACGCAGCGTATCGTGCTCTTCATAGATCTCAGCCCACTTCTGCTCACACCCAATTCGAATCAATACCTAGCCGTCGTATTCTCCGCCGCCGAGAAGCTCCTCTCGTTTCCTCCTCTCTCCGCTTCTCTCTTCTCTTTCAAGTTCTTCATATCTTCCTTATCGTCTCTATTATCCTCCTCGAAGCTCTCCGCACTCTCAATTCCATCTTCCAGACTCTCATTTGACCTCCCTATCCCTACGCTCGTCTCTCTCAGACGCGCCATCGACGCCGTCAAGCGATGCGAGCTCCGATCGAGTTTAACGGCGGCAACGCCTCGTGGAGTCAACGTCGCTGCGTCTTTGCGACAGATTGTTTACGATTACGCTTGGGAACCGGTGGTTCGAGGTATGATGATTCCTGGGTTCACGGATGGTGGAGGAGTCGATGATGTCGTTAGGTCGAATCTAGTCGTGATGTTTTCCCCAATTTCTAGGGATTTGAAATGGGTTTCTGAGTTTCTGGATGTTAAGAGTAGCGATGAGTGTTTGAGGGAGTTGGGTTTGTTCAAGTCTAAGTTTGGTGAGGTTTTTGATTGCGTGAATGAGTTGTTTGATGATAGAGACATTCACTTAAGCTGGATTGATGTTAGAGTTGGTGAAAGTATCGAACTTGGGTTGAAGTCTGAGTTTTTCGATGGTGGAGTTAGAGGTTTGGGTTGGGGGTATTGTTCTACTGATTCGATTGTTTATGGTTCTTTAATCGTTCCCTTTGGATTGATATATCCAATAATTGGTGTTTCCCCAAAGCTATCTACTAGCCACAAGTTTAGTGTTCAAGCCAGTCTCGAGATTGCAGATATTGATGGTAAACCTATGGAATGCAAGTGCGGTGAGCTAGAGTTTTCTTCTACTGGAATTTCTAGTGGGAAGAGGTGTGATGAGTTCATCAACTTGGGCAGTGCATCTGAGGAGCCTTATTCGGAATCTCTGATTGAAGAGTTCTGCAATGGAGTCACTAAACTCAGTATTAAAGCCTTGAAGATGTGTGATGCTCTTGTCGAACTTGAGAGGTATACTTGTGATACTTTTGTCGTTCGTGAAGTCTCTGAGAAATCTGACCAAGAGCAGGAGCATGAGAGTGGATTTTGGGCTGATCGGGTTCTTCAGATAGTAGAAAAGGAGACGGGTGAGAAAGTAGCGAAGAAGTCGTCACCCATTTGGCAGATCTTATTAAGTTATCTCTATAGGGAGGGTTACTCAGCTTTGGTGTCTCTAACGAATAGTAATGGAAATGGTAGTTGTCGGACAGGAATCCTCAAGCCCTTCACTTTCTCCTCGGCTTTAGTCTCTGTTTTTGACAGTGAAGTCTCTCCTCAAACTGTGGATCATGAAGATAGCAGTAAGGAAGTCAATTGTAGCGAAAATAAAAGAAAACCAAGCAAAAAGATTTTGAACTCATTTCACGACATGTGCTGGGAGGAGTTCTGCAGATCAGTGAAAGGTTATGGTCAAATAGATATAGAGGATGCATATTTTTCCAAGTTTAGCAACTCGAAGAAGTATAAGTTTCTGAAATGTTGGATGAAACAGATTAGGAAACCCAGAGGTTGCAGTTTGTCAGTGGCTAGTAATTACGATGCACAGCTGGATTTGCAAGCAGATCCAGTTGACAAAAATCACAACTCATCTGAAGGGACAGAAAATACGACCTCTCTACCTGTATCTGAGGAGGACATTGCTTTGAGTGGAAATCGTTTATCCATAAGGCAGGAGAATGATACATCTGTTTGTGGATCAGAGTCATCAGAAAATTTCTTTGCTAATCTTCCTAGTAAAATCAAGCAAGGGATTGAGTCTGAGGAAATAGACTTGGCAGCTCTGGCCGAGCGGCTGGTCAACTCCTGCCTTCTTCATTCTTCTCAAAGACCTGAGAAGGATTGTAGCTGTGAGAATGGAAACCTCTTGTTGGTCACTGAGGAATTAAGCAAGATGTTACTGAAAGAACCGAAAGATTTAGTTGCCAAGTTTAAGAAGAAACATTCATCATCCACGGCAAGTGAGCAAAAGTCTGATGAAGCTTCACCCAGTAGCATCATTAGAGAGTATCCTTTTTGCTTTGTTTGGTTACACTACCCAACTAATTCTTATGCTTTGATCTTGTGTACTGATGCTTTCTTTTGTTTATATAAGCTGTTTGTATTTTGTTCTGTTTTCTTTAATTAGCTGTAAGATATGAGCTGCAGATTCTATTCCGAATGGAGATTTTAAAATCAGAGATAGGTTTGAGAAGTGAGGAGTCTGTGACTCAGAAGTTTGCCAAGCAGATTTGCATGCTTCTTGAGGCTATACAGTGCAAGTTAGACGGTGGATTCTTTAGTGATTGGAGCCTTGATAAGTATGTGGATAAAATTATAAAAGCTAGGTATGTATAATCCCATTCTCAGTAAGTATAGTAGTTTTTAGCTATATGTGTAATTATTGCTAATACTAGTGACTTGCCCTTCTCAGGTATCATCATATTCTTGGAGAAGCTGTCAGCATAATTTATACAGAGATGGATCTGCTTATGTTCAGTGACGAGGATCTTGAAAATAGTTTCATGAACACTGAAGACAGTAGTCAATCAGGGAGAGATAATATCCATAGCAATCTCAAGTATCATCATCGTAGTCAAAGACGTAAAGATGTACCCGGTTCGAGTAAGAACTATTTGAAGAAAGAGACCAGGGAGTGCAGAGAAGCTAGGAAAGTGGTCGAAGCACAAGAAAGAAGGGAAAGAGCAAGAAGATTCTCGAGTTTCACAAGTTGGATGCCTGATCTTTGTAGAGTTTGGGCACCGAAACAAGCAAAGAACTCTAGAGACAAAGCTGATCAACAAAAGAGAATGGCCAAAAGGAAGAAAGAAGAAAGGTCAGTGGAATATGACAGGGTATGTGAGACACCAGTGACGACAACAGATAACAAACGAACACGAACTGATGACAAAGGGGAACACGAGAGTGGGTCTCTGCCTCGTAGTTCTGTACCAAAGGCTTTGTTTCAAGATGATTCTTAGGTAAACTCTTTCTCCTTTGTATATCATATAAGAATTGAAACCGGGAATAAGGACTACATTTAAGTCCCACTTTTAATGAAATGAAGCTTGAATTAAAAGTGGAAAGACCATTTAGAAATGAGAATTAGCTGAGTTGCATTTGTTAAGAGTTTATGTAGCAAAGAGGGACCAAGTAATCCAAACCTTTAATGTAGACGGAATCCCACTGTATTTGATTTTACGAAATCTTGTCAACGTACACGAGCTGAAGTCTCAGTGTTGTTCTGTTCGCAGAAGTTTGCACTATTTGTATTTCTCTATTTCTTTTTTAACAATGTAATTTTGAGATTAAAATTAAGGTTTTAAAACCTCCACTAATATATTTGGTTACCGATATAATGCTGATAAACTCACTACCCAAGTCTTACAATGTTAAAATTAAGGTTTTAAAACCTCCACTAATATATTTGGTTACCGATATAATGCTGATAAACTCACTACCCAAGTCTTACAATGTTAAAATTAAGGTTTTAAAACCTCCACTAATATATTTGGTTACCGATATAATGTTGATAAACTTACTACCCAAGTCTTACAATGTTAAAATTAAGGTTTTAAAGCCTCCACTAAGTCTTATAAGACTTGGGGGTTGTGAGTTCATCAACTTGGGTAATGCACATGAGGAACCCCATTCAGACTCTCTAACTGAACAACTCTGAAATAGAATAGCGTTGAGGATGTTTGATGATCTTAACGATCTCTAAGAGGTATATCCATGACCCTTTTGTTGTTCATTAAAGCCTTCTACGAACCTGAGCAAGGGAAGCAGCAGGAGTGTGGGTTTTCTGCCAATCCCATTCTTCATATATTAGTGCAGGAGTGGATATCTTTTGAAAATAAAGTGCAAAAAGAAGAGGATCAAAATCTCAAACAGCTGAGATAAAACGAAAGAAGGTGTTAATTTATCCTCATCCCAAGAGGCGTCGATTCGCGAGGCCGCCTGTTTCAGACTTGAAACTTATCTGGTCTTCATGTACTGATCCTTCATAGTTCCTACACACTAAGTTTCATCTTCACTCTTCACAGTACAACAATATAGGTTTGTATTTAGAGAACTCTAACCCATTTATTACTCATCTAAATTACCATCTGTCTCAAAAACAACTAATGATGAGCTAGCAAAAACGTCTGTCACAAACATAATCGTAGTAAAGCAAACTGAATAAAGATAAATCAAGTTTTAGAGTGCACAAGAAGGACGTGCAAGGAAAATTAACCGCAAACCGGTTTCACAGATAAATAAAAAAACACTCTGACCAGGTGAAACATTGAGACGCCTTCAGAGGCTTTACACCTTGCGGACTTGAATGTTATGAGTCGATTGAGATCTCCAGATTGGTTGTGACCCACTCTGTACAATCGCTATCTCCTCTCCCTTCTTCACCATTCCTTGTTTCTGTTCATCCCAAAAGTTACCAACTCAAAACTTTTTATCACAACAACCACAGAAAATCTACTGTATGTATATTTTCAGAAATACAAAGCTACATCTATTTATTTAACACTGAGTTTCTTTCTAAGAGAGATCCTTTGAGTTTACCAGTAGTGTAGCCAAAGCATTCGCGAAAGTGTCTTCTGCATCATCTGAGAACTCCATATAGATGGGACATACACCTTGATACAAGGCTAACCTTTGCTGTATTCTTTTCCTGCAGAAGCAAAACCTCTACCGTGAGTTCTAAAATTTAACAGATGTCACGGTCATGTGATCTGGAAGAATCGACATGGAATACTTACTCATTTGTAAAAGCATAGATTGTGCCAGAAGGGCGATAGTGGCTTAGTAGTATTGCCATGAAACCAGTCCTGGTGAAGACAACAGTTGAAGTTCCAAGTGTGTTTGACATCATGGTTGCATGGTATGCAAACATCTCACTCATATGGTTCTGTATAGATTCAAACATTTTTCTTGTAAGTAAATCAAGACTCACCCTAGATAAATACTCAAGTGGGGTAACAGTTTACAGATTTAAACGTTTTACCTTAAAGGCTTGCCCAAGATTAGCTGGCATTTCACTACTAGTAGTAATGGTGGCTTCTGTTCGCAGTGCAACTGTATGCATCACTCCAGCAGCTTTCAATGGGAATCTAATACCAAGTAAAGTTCAGTTTCGTGTATATTAAAAACCTTCAATACTTTCTATATCCGCACCAATATGAGCTTAACTCCATAGATTATACGGAAAGAATCAGCAACTTACTTTCCATGAGCAGTTTCTCCTGAAAGCATCACAGCATCAGCACCTTCTCTAACAGCAATAGCAATGTCAGAAACCTCCGCCCGGGTTGGAGTTGGATGAACTATCATACTCTCAAGCATGTTAGTCGCAACAATAACAGCTTTCCCCATGCTTCGGCATAGGTTTATGATCTTTCCCTGTATAATTTTTAAATGCAAGAAAATGTTTGCCGTTGTAAATCTTTGGAATTTGCAAGACTCGTTTTCTGGTTTATCTGAAATGAGAAGTAAACGCCAACCTGAAGTATGGGTACTTCTTCAATAGGGAGCTCTGCACCTAGATCACCTCTTGCAACCATTGCCTGGAAGATGAACAACACCCATTAAATATTAAGTTTGAATAACAACATAGAATCTGTTGTTGTTGTAAAAGAGATAAGAGACTTTAAGGCATACAGGAACGGGAAGAACAAACAAGGTAGATGGGAAAGTTTACCCCATCAGATGCCGTGATAATGGAATGCAAGTTAGGTATGGAGTCTGCGCTTTCAATCTTTACTATCACGTGAATATCAGCACCACAACCTGCCACATATTTGTAACCAAAGAGATCAAAATGAAGAATCATAGGCAAAAATATTCAGTTAGGAGATGTTCAGTTTCACGTGTTTACCTTTAAGGTAATTCTTCAGTTCATGCACCACTTGCGCATCTTTGACAAAAGAAACTGCATAAAAGTCAACTTTGTTCTCCACTCCAAACTTAATGTCCTCCCAATCCTTCTCTGAAAAACAAAATAATTACAACAAATAAGCATCAGGGTAACGCCATTCAGACTTAAATACGCAGCAGTTACCAAAAGAAAAGGGTGAGACAGAAGGTCGAACCAGTAATTGAAGGTAATGTTGCACTTTTCCCTCGGACATTCAAGTGTCTCCTAGACTTAAGTTCTCCACCATCAACAACTTCACATTTCACCGAGTCTTTAGTCTTAGACTTCACCATAAACGACATCATACCACCTGAACAATCATTAAAAAGAAATGAATGAGATCCCATCCCAACGGAGATGTAAACACCAAATAATGAGAACAACATACCATCAACAAGGAGCATGTCTCCTGCTTCCACATCGTTGACAAAATCATCATAGTTAACACTAACACAAGTTGGTGTGCTGACACCTCTCTCAATCGTAAAAGTAAACTCCTGACCAGGGTCAAGCATAATCGGTTGGGGTAAATCTCCACTCCTAACTTCTGGACCCTAAGAACACATAAAAGAGCCTGTCAAGTAAACAGAGAAATGACTGCAAAGACAAAACTCTAGAAACAAAAAACAAACGAACCTTGGTATCAAGCATGATAGCAATAGTGTTGTCCTTAGACTGTGCATTGTACTCTTTGACCAAATCAATAACCTTCTTGTGAGAAGCATGATCCCCATGAGACATGTTCATCCGAGCAACATTCATCCCAGCTTCAGCCAGTTTCCATATCATTTCCCTTGTGTTTGTAGAAGGACCAACAGTGCACACAATCTTTGTCTTCCTCCTTGATGTCGGCTTCGACCACATCCCTACAGACGTGTCACTAAACTTCTGCATTTCCAACAACCGCTCAAATTGCTCCTCTCTCTAAATCCACAAAAAAATACCAAAAAAAGAGAGAGATCAAATTTATATATCGAAACAGGTCAGAGAAACATAGATTCAAATATAAGGTTACATACGTTAGGCACGTCTTCAGGGGACACTGGAATCACCTCGGTCTCCACACGAGCGGATGATCTCACAGTAGTATCAAACACTCTTCTGCCTTTCAGAGAGACTCTTCCGCTCCTCTTGGCTTCGTTTCCCAGAACCTTCACCGCGAAACTCGCCGGTTTCAAGAACTTGTCGGATCTCGTAGACAGGGATCCACCGTTGGGAGACAACATTGAGCCTTGAATCGACCTAGTAGCAACCACCTGAGCCATTATGGAAGGGGATTCGACGTTGCAGAAGAGAGAGAGGAGGTCAGGTGAAGATTTGATTTATCGGCGGAACTTACGAAGATGAAATGCTTTAGTTCGTGTCGGAAGAGTGACAAATCATATAAAGTAGGTTTGAAAAAAAAATAAACAGGAAAACGACGCATCAGATAGAACGCCGTCGTATCATTCGCTTACATTTACCCCATTTAAACTCATGGGCCTGTTTCTAAAGCCCACTATTATTAAAACATTGGGCTTAGTTTTTCTTTTGATGATAGGAAAATGGCGGGAAAATGTGTGAAACTATACGCGCCACCACAAGAGCCCTAAATCACTGAGATAGACAGAAGAGAAGCTGCTCAATCTTTGTGTACATTTGATTCTGGTTGATTCCATAGAGCGGTTTGATTTGTATTGCGAGGAAAAATGGATACGGAGGAGAGAAGCTCTACGAAAACGAAGAAGAAGATGGATCTGGAGGGTTTATCAGTCATCTGCAGCGATCTCGGCGAACCCGAAGAAGACGGAGATGGAAGAAAAATCGGTTACTCCAAAAGCGAATACTGTCTCGGTAACTCAATCTTACTTTACTTCCCTCTCTTATGAATGTGCTGATTTGAGCTCGATGAGTTTTAATTTGACACACGGCGCAGATAATCTGAAAGACTTGCTGAGATTCTTGAGACGTGACGATCCTCAGAGCAGGGACGTTTTCAAGCAGGTCTGTGCGTGGAATATAGTCTCCAAAGACTTGATTCCAATCATCGAGCATTACCAAGATAAACAGAGCTTAGTTCTAAACGCAGGTACTCTTCTCCTTCTTCTTCGTCGTTTCAGTTTTCTTTAAATTGATTTAATTTATTTCTGATGATTATTTTGATTTGATTGTTCAGTTAAGGTGTTAGTGTTTCTCACAATGCCTGTGGAGCCTGATTCAGATGATGTTCCTCAGCAGATTGAGTATCTATGGGGTTTAAAGTCAGCTATTACTGTAAGCAACATCGTTGCAGTGGTTGTGTCTTTGCTCGAAACCCCTTTAGAGAACTTAGAATTGTAAGTGTTCTTTATTAGAAATTCATCTTATTGTGTTGACTATTTCTGTGTGTGTGGTGCTGATCTTTATGCTTTTTCAGAGACGAATTCAACGAGGAAGATTGGAAATTGGTTCAGCTTGTGCTCACTCTGTTCAGGAATCTACTGGCTATCCATGATATTTCGCCGCTTCAGAAGGCTGGAGAATCCACTTGTTACTTTTTGTCTTTGAGGGATCAGTTTCTTGAGCTCCTGTCCCGTGAGAACGTGATGGATATTTTTATTGTGATCACTCAGACTATCGAATGCAACAACTTGTTGAGACATGACAACCTGCTTCTGCTGGAAATTTACCACTATATTCTCTTGGGTCAAGATATGGAGTTCATTGCACAGGCTCCTGAGAAGGTCAGTATTTCAACTGGATCACTAGGATTGAAACGAGTTTCTTTTGGTATTGATGCTGTAGTCAATCATTTTATTTTGACAGTTGGATCAAGGAAAAAAGGCTGCTGTGGAAAGTTTGAAGAAGTTAATGGAGGCTGAGGAAGCCAAAAGGAAGCTTTCAAGACTCAACAATGCGTCTCAGCGTCATTCACAATTTGGTGGGACATTCACCCGAGTTACCATGGTACTGTTTCTCGGGATGCTCTTTAAAGTTTGGTGTAAATTTTCTTCTGTTGTCTGAATGACATTTTTTTTTGTAGGGTGGCACTAAAGCTGTACTGACGGGAATTCCTTCTACAGAGGAGAGCACATTACTCAAGCCTCACGCAAGTGGTGGAGCCAAAGAGAAGATTGTCTGGGAACATGGATCAACAATGCCCGTGACAAATGACAATGTTTTGAAGTTGCTGCATGATTTCATCAATCAGTTTATGTCAGGAGGATATAATGGTATGTGACACAATAGATAAACAACTTTTTTTGTTTATACTTGGCTTTAAGTACCTTGATGCTGATGCCGGTGTACCATATCTCTTAGTTTTGATGCAGTCGGTATGTGAAGATATAGAAAAGGAGCATCCTTCCATTCAGAATAGCGACATTGTTACATTCTTCCAGGTTGCTCAGGCAGTCACCTCTTTTCAGTTTCACAAGTCTCTGGCTTCACCCGTGAGTAACTGAACTACGTTGGTCTTGTCTCAATTTGAATTGTCTAAGTTTCTCCGCATTTAACTTTCCCTGACAGTTTATACAATGCTTATTATCTTTTTCAGTCAGCAAGGGCAACAGAAGAAACTCCTGAACTTTCTACCGATCAGAATTCCGGAGGAAATTTTTCTAAGAGCGACATTTGCGCGCCAATTGCAGCAACAATCAATGACAGAATGTTTTCGCTTGTCATTTCAAAATGGCGCTCTGCTTTTGATGGTCTGAAGGAAACTAAAGATTTTAAGTTTCTATCTGCAGCAGGCTCTCTTGTGAAAACTATGGTATGAAATATTCATGATATTTTGCTGGCTAATTCCATAATACTATTTTTGGATGTCTATTTATTTTTCTGAATGGTTTCTGTAGCTCAATGTTTTTGTAGATATATGCAAGTATCAGCGGTTCACAACAGTAGACGTTAAAAATGATTGTTGACTTCATCTGCATTTTTTTTATTCAGCAATTAGCAGCGAAGACTCATGGTCTGCATTGCTTACTTGTTTTCTGCAGTTTTGCTTGTTAGATCTAGTTATTAAATTGCGACCTGAAGACTCGAAAGAAGCTTTTACTGTCCGCATCTTGCTATATAAGTTGTTTTACGACCAAACTGATCAAGGGATGTGTCAGTTCATCCTGAATCTGGTGAGAAGTTTTGACATGCACAAACAACCTAAAAGGTATGGCCTCTGCTTCTGTTTCTTCTTATTCCAGAATCTTGAGGGCATGCAGTATCTTGCGCCATCAGTGATTTTTCAGCTCTTGTGGTGTGATATATATAATCTGTAAATGTTGGAACATATACATCATCGTGACAGCATGCTTATGTTCTTGTTTGACTTGTTAAACGTTTGATAGAAAGCTCATTTTGATGGTTTCCTTTTGTCTTATATGATTGTGCCTGACAATTACTTTGCTTGACATAAACTTTCGTTTCTTCCCAGTGAACTTGGAGATCTGGTGGAAAGCATCCATATAATAGTAGGCCTTATGGAAAACCTTCAAGGGCGTGGAACTTTAAGGGTATGTAACTACATGGATATTAACTCTGATTAGATGATATACAAAACTTAGTCATAAGATGTGTTTATGCAAAGTTTCAACCAAAACTACATGGATATTAACTCTGATTAGATGATATACAAAACTTAGTCATAAGGTGTGTTTATGCAAAGTTTCAACCAAATGTCTGTTTTCATGCCCCAGGTTTCAAAAAAATCAAGAAAGGCAAGAAAGAAAAAACCCAAGGGAAGTAAGGAGGCCTCAGTGCATGAACTGTCTGAAAATTATCCAAGTACATCAAACCAAGATAGCACCGCCAAAACCATACCGGTGGTTGATTCTACAGTTCCTATTGAGGATGGACCTCCCAACAATCCAGGGGGTTCAAACCCAGGGACTGAAGCCGATGAAACTCAACAAACGCACAGCCCTAAATCAAATCGTGTGGTAGATGACATGTCTTGCGGCACTGACTATTCTTCTGATGGAGAAGACCAACCTGCAACAGATGAAGTTGATTTTAAAGTTTCGACATTTATTTCTGCTTTTGCAAGCAACAGCATTATTCAAAACATATGCTGGTTGCTTAAGTTTTACAAAAACAACACAAAACAGACGAATCACCACTTAATAAGCATTCTGCGGAGGATTACAGAAGACTTGGAACTGTCTCCCATGTTGTATCAGGTAAGTGTTTTAAATCACATCCCAAATTGTAACTTTCTTTTTTTATTATTTTGCAACTTCCTCACTATTTTATTATTTAATTTTTCAGCTGTCACTGCTTATAACGTTCCATAAGATCCTTGATGAGCAGAAAGCTTTTCCTTGTAAAGACTATGAAAACATAGCTAGCTTCCTGACAGAGCTGGTTAGAAATATGTTGAAGAAAATGAAGTCACAGCCTCTTCTTTTTGTGGAAATTCTCTTCCCAAAGAGCCGCAAAGAATGCCATTACATAAATGCCGAATATATGTTGCATGAGCTTGGCCATCTAAGAAAACAAATGGGAAATCAAGAAAAGGCCTCTGGGGCTGAAGACAATGTTTCATCCGACAAAGGATGGTCCCGCAGAAATATAGCAGATGCTCTTGGGGATGATGAAGCTGACGTTGTGATATCTTATGATCAAGGGTTTCAAAAGTAAGAAAACTTCGCCTTGTGATATTACTTTATATACCTCATAGTTCTTGTTAGCTGAAGATACTGTTCATTTCTATTTGTTAATGTTTGGGAATTTTGCTTGCTGCAGTGAGGACGATCACAATGAATCTGCAGGTCCATCTAAAAGAAAGCGAAGACTTGTTCTTGATGCTGACATGGAGATAAAAATCAGAGATCTATATGAAAGGTATGTTTTGTTAATACAAGTATTGATCATTGGGATTTAATAAGCAATGATCCTTGGAATTTGATAAGTATTGGATGTTGTTAAACTCAGAATTTTACATACGAGCCATGGTAGCTTAAAGTTATATTCAATTGGTTGCTTATAATTAAAAATCTTTCCAGGTTGAAAGATGATAAAGATTGCAGCCGGCTTATTGCCGAATCTTTGGATCCTGATGGTGGAATATCTGCCGCACAAGTAACCAACAAGCTTAAACAGTTAGGTCTACAAACAAGGAAAAGACTTCGACGTGGTGACAACTCTCTGGAAGCAAGTAATGGAAGTGATGATCCAGAGGCAGCATCAGATCAGCAACCTTCGTGAGTATCTCTTAAAGTGTAAGAAATTTTCAAACATTGTTTTCGATTTTACTGACTTTCTTCTATTGTTTTTGAAACAGAAACTCCAGAAAAAGAGTGAGTTCCTT